CCGCGGGGGCCACGTGCGCGCCCCCTGAGGGGAGCGCCAGAGAGCTCCGGGAGGGCTCCCGCCCCATCGCGGAAGGGGCCGCCCTCCGGAACCTTCCTTTCCTCTCTGGGGCCGCAATACCGATGATAAAAACTCACTGTGTGTCAGACCCTTTTTCTAGGTTATCACTTGCAACTTTTTTTTAAATTTATTGATTTGAGAGAGAAAATCAATTCATTCGTTGTCCCACTTATTGATGAAGTCATCGGCTGATTCTTGTGTGCGCCCTAAGCTGGATCTCACGCAGCCTTGGTCTATCAGGAGGACGCTCCCGCCTGCTGCCCAGGCCCGGCAGGGCCAGGCTATCGCTTGTAATCCTTTTCTTTCTTTTCTTTTTTAAATCCTCACTCAAGAACACCCCACCACCCTACCCCGCAGAGAGAGAGAGAGACGAACGCTGAGAATCGATTGGTTGCCTTTGCCTTTGCCAACCGGGATCCGCGCTGGGACTGGGGATCACGTGCGCTCGGACCAGGGGTCGCGTGCACCCCGCGCCTGGACCGGGGATCACTCCACAACCCTGCAGTTATAAGACGATGCTCCAACCACTGAGCCACGCCAGCCAGGGCCACCGGTAGTTCTTAAAAACACACCTTGGAGACGGATTTCACCCACATCACCCACTGAGGCTCCGGGCAGACTATTGACTCTTAAAGGGCAATTGTCAACCCTGGCCCCGGGACGACCAGCCCAGGCTGCTCCGCCAGCCATGGGGCAGCCGTCCAGCCTTCCCTACCCTGCCCTTGCAGAGGCTGAGCGGGAGGCCCTGGACCACCGCCCCGTCCTTCCAGAGCCCTCAGATACCACCTGTGGGGAGGAGGAAACGGCCTCCTGACAGCTACCGGGTTCGGACGGGAAAGGCAAGATTACGGAGCCCTGCCCCCGGCCCGGGGAGAGGGCTGGTGCCCTGCCCCGCAGCCTGCTCGGGTCTGGGCCCGGCCGCGCCCAACCTCTCAGACCCCATCTGGGGCGGGTGTTGCGGTCCAGGCTGCCGCCGAGCCTGCGGGGTCCCCCAGGCCACTCAGGGCCCAGGGACCACAGGGTTGGGGCAACTGCAATGAGGATGGTGGCCCCACCTAAGCCCCAGCCTGCCTCGGGCGTCGGCCACGTCCTGTGAGGATGCTGCCCGCCCTCACGTGGGAGGAAGGCAAAGCTCCCGGAGGCAGGGGCTCCCGCCCGAGCCGGCATCCGTGGACAGCCCGTGGACTGTGGGCGGCGCTCTGGCACCAGCACCCCCGCTTCGTCCCCCCTGAGGTACGTGAGCCGCGGCGGTTACTGAGTCTGACCCCGTGCCCAAGCCTGCGCGATGCCCTTGCGTTGCCAGGACCAATGGAGGGTGCGGTCGGCAGCCTCTGGGAGGACTGTCAACGTGCGCATGCTTTCCGCCTCGCAACTCCACTCGGGTCTGTCCCTCTGCAGCGGGCTCCACAATAGCCCCCGAAAGGTATGTTCACACCCTAACACCAGAGTCTGTGAATGTGGCTTTGGAAAAAGTGTCCTTGCCGGTATAAGGCTCTTGAGATGAGATGGTCCTAGATTACCCACCAGGGCCCTGGATCCAGTGACAGGCCTTCCAGCACAGAGGAGAGACGCGGCGGGGTGGCGGGGGAGCCATGTGACAACAGAGGCAGAAGCTGGAGGGACATGGCCAGCAGCCCAGGACGCCTGGAGCCCCGGGAAGCTGGAGGAGGCAGGAAGGACCCTCCCCGAGCCTCCTGAAGGAGCGCAGCCCTGGGCCTCCTTCGTCTTGGACTTCTGGCCTCGGCAGCCTAGACAGATCCGTTTCTCTCGTTCTAAGCCCCCCACTTTCTGGGGTTTTTCAAGGGCAGCTCTCGGACACCAGTACAGCGCCCTAGACAAATGCCGCTGCTGTGCACCGGCACGTGTTCTGGGAGGGTTTTAGAGCATTGCGGGAATGCATCCCAGCCCTCTGCGTGCCTCCGACAGGCCGCGGGGCGGGGAGCTGGTCCGTCGGGGGCTGGAACCCCGAGCAGGACAAGGTCTGGAAGGACAGGCGACTGGTCAGGCCAGAGGGACTGGGAGGGGGCCAGAGGGGCTGCAACGGAAGGGGGGAGGGCGGGTGCACTGTCTGCGCTTGGGACCCCGGTGCCACCTGAGCTTCCTGGGCTGACTCCCCGGGACTGGGTAAGTTAGAAGGCCCAGGGGCAGCCAGGACAGCTTGGGAGCCAACGTTTGTGACTTTTATGCCATCAGAGAACAGTGGGGTTTTTTTTCCTTCTTTTTAGTTTTAAGTAATCACAGAATCATACAAAGTTGCATAGACAGTAGCCCTGTGTCCCCTTCGCCCAGCTTCCCCACCGGTTGCTACAGAGCCACATCCGAGCCAGAGAACTGAGGTTGGCCTGTGTGTGCACGTGCTCACGCTCGCGTGCCCGCACATATACTTGTTACTTTGCCACGTGTGGATTCCACTCAGACGCAGCCCCCCAGGATCTGCCGCCTGCCGCCCTTTCATGGCCTCAAAGGATTTGTATTTGCATATCGGATGTAGGTCCTCACTCTCTGTCACCCCGCACCGCCCCCTGCCCCCTCCTCCCTTGCTAACAGGCCCCCCATGTGAGTGTGGCATGTGCCCCGCCTGATGCCACTTCCCCAGCCTGTCCAGAGCTGGGTGGTGCTGCGGCCAGCCTTGGCTGATAGTGTGGCCAGAAGCTGAGGGAGCCGGGGCTCTCCAGAGGGGTCAGTGCGGGAGGGAGCCCTCCTCCTGCTCTTGAACGCCGCCCCCACCCAAGCCTCAGCAGCCACGCTGAAGCCACCAGGCCACGTGAGTGGTGATACCACGAGAATCAGAGACCACAGCCCGGGCACTGTGGGGCGGCGACCACACACGGCCTCTGGGTTTGTTACTGGGCAAAAAGAAACCCGGCTTGTGGAGGACAGTGGTTCTCAACTGGGGGTGACTTTACCTTCCAAGGACATGCAACGACTGCTGGAGAGAGACAGTTATGGTTGTCACAGTGACATCTAGGGAGAGAGGCTCATCCTAGGAGCACCTGGCCCCCCACAAAGATGTTGGTACATGGAGCGGGACACCCCGAGTTCGGCCGCTGTCGGTTGGGGCTGGTTAAGCGCAGCTGACAGCATCTCTGACCGAGGTGCGGTGCTGGCTGCTCCGTCCTGGAGCAGGCGTGACCGGAGGAAGCGGTGCCCGGCCAGGAAGGGTCACCAGCACACACCAGCCTCCACTGCTAACTGAGCTGGTTAACTAAGATGCGTTCTTTAGCCCACCTGCCTCTCAGCTGGAGGCGCGGGGCAGCCATCGGAATCCCATGGGAAGTGACCCAACTCGATTTAACTCATCCGCAGACGAGCAGATAAAGAAGAGGTGGTACCTGCATACAAGGGAATATCCCTCAGCCATGAAATACAATGAAACCTCGCCATCTGCAACAGCGCGGATGGACCCAGACGGTATCGTGCTGAGTGAAGTCAGTCAGAGAAAGGCAGAGTATCGTATGGTTTCACTTATATGTGGAATCTGAAGAACAAAATAAATGAGCAAAACAGAAACAGACAGACACAAGGAACAGCCTGATGGCTGCCAGATGGGAGGAGGTTTGGGGGCCGGGACGCGGGGGCGCAAGCTGCCGTCACACAGCGTCCGAGGGCCGCGGAGCGCAGCCCAGGGGACGCAGGGTATCGTCCTGTCTGTGCTGCCAGGCAGGTTCTGAATTATCGAGGGGTCGCTGCGTAAATTCCACGTCCGAGCGCGGCGCCGTACACCCGAGCCCACGAGCCCAGCGCGGCCCCCGCCTCCCTCCTCCTGCAACGTCGAGCCGGAGAACAAAACATACCACTCGATACAAACTCCGCTTTAATGTAAAAAAATGAAACCAAACTCATGTATACACATAAATACAACCGGGGGGGCATAAATAAAGTCGGAAAATCGGAGAGATGTGCCTATCAAACTAAATAAATTAGTCATAAATATCACGTTGGCGACCAAGTGCTGGGAAAACTCAGTGTCCCTGCCGCTGTCACAAGCTACTGGCAAGATCTGGGGCTTCCAAATCTTCCCTTTCCGGTGTTTTGAGCGCACCGTGCAGGTTTTGCCTGAGGTGGGAAGCGGCAGTCCTCGTGCGCAGTGACCGAGAGCTGGGACAAAGGGCCGGGATGTGGAAGCGGCTTTCGGCACCTGCTCTTTTAGGGCAAACACCCACAGCACTGAACTAGGAGCCAGAGCCCAACGTGACGGGAGAACTGGGGAACCGGGGTGCAGGCTGGGGTGAGGGTGTCAAAGAAGGGCTACCGGGACTGTGCCTTCACATCCTGCCCAAGGAGGTGGCAGACGGCTGTCTGCTGTCAGGAGGGCCAGGGGGTGTCGCTGAACAGCCTACTCTGTCCCGGGCACACTGCCAAGTGGTCCAGCGGGTTACCCTTCTGAGAACCAGCCACCTCAGGAAGCTCTGGGTCCCCCCTGCTCCCGAAGCCGGCCGGGCCATGCCCGGACCCAGCCATTTCCATCCTGGAGGGACTTGTATTTGAGATCTGGACTAAGTGTCATATGTGGTTGAGTCAGATTTGCCTGCCTTTCTGAGCTGATCACCTGTACATGAGTTTAAAATAGAGTGTTCTTCTGGCTGCCCCTGCTGGAAGTGATGAGAGAAATCTGCAGAGAATTTCAGCCTGGCTTAAGACCTTTCACAAAGGCGATGAGTTCCCTGCCAGTGGCGGTATTCAAGCTGGACTGGGGCAGCACATGGAGAGCACTTGTCCATCAAGGACCAAATTCAGGGAAGGGAGCTGGGGTAGCACCTGGGGGTGGGGGTGGGGACAAAGGGCTTACAATTTTACTATCACACAAGTCTATCCCCTAGAAATGGGCACAGGTAGTGTCAAAGAGTCTATGTACAAGTTCTAAATGTTTCTTCCTAGCGCTAAACAGAACATGGGTTGGGGGCAGGGGCAGGGGCGGGGGGGCGGGGCCAGAGCCGCAGTTATTTCTGGAAGCTGGGGCTCTCCACCAGCCGGAGTTTGTTGGCGATCCCGAAAGGGTCCATGCTGTCGGTCTCCAGGGGCGCGGAGAGCGCGTCAGGCTCCAGGTGGTCCTCGAGGGGCTCGGGCTGCGTCAGGCTCCTGGGCAGCATGGGCAGGAAGTGGGACAGCGGCAGAAAGCCCCTGTCCTTGTACAGCTGCCTCTGCCTGGCGCTGCTCAGAGACACGGGCAGCTGGTGCTTCTTGGACCAGTACACGTTGTAGCCATCGGGGCGGATCTCCTCCTCGAACGCGCAGTCCTCGGGTGAGAACTGCAGCTGTGGAGGCAACAGCCAGCCGTGAGCCCCTGTGCGCGGGCAGGCGCCCTCCCTCCCGGCCCGGCCCGGCCCCGCCGGAGGGGGCGGCTGGCCGAGGTGGGCGCCCTGCCGAATCCGCCGCTCGGCCTGAGCCCCAAGTCCTGCGCGTGGGGGTTTACAGAGTAGGGTATAACATGCATGTCGTGTATATGTAGACTTACACTTACTCCGTTTGAATATACGTTTATACCATTTGCATGGTTTCATTTTAGTTTTTAAGTCAACTTTCCAATCACAGTTGACTTACAATATATTCGCTTCAGGTGCGCAACAGTGATGAGACAATTATATAACCAAGACTAGCGCTCATCGGACACCAACACATTACTACGCTCCCTGGGCTGGACTTTGACATTGATACACGTTAAATATAACATTAAACGTCTGTACTAAACACACGCACTTTATATATAAACGTTTATCTGTGCTCTGTATACCTTTATAATCTGTAACCCCCCAGCCACCCCCCCACTGCAGGTAAATCTCATGTACGACTTAATATCTACATACACTTTACATAGGTCTCTCCTATTTTCCACGCAATGTCACTTTTTAAACTTGACATTATCCTGAGCAATGGCATCGATAAACCATAGGCATGACCTACCCATGTGCTGCACTCTCCCTTTACATTATAAACAGAGAAGCACCGCCGTTAAAAACTCCCTCGCCGGCCCCGGTGCTTTGGGAGCCACGGCTAAACTAGAACACCCTCTGGGACAGTCTTTCGATTAGGAATCCGACCTGGGACCCAGATGAAAGACTCGCGTTCCCACCCAGACCCCCAAAACCGAGAGATTCTCAGGCCTTCTCGCCCGGGGCCCCGGGAGAGCCTTGGGCCCCTCGGCCCGTCCAGGCAGCCTGCCAGGATCCTGGAGATAAAGGCCGCCCCCTCCCCCAGGCCCGGGGCAGCGCCTGCGCCTGGGAGGGGGGGCCGGAAATGGGCGGGGGAGGAGGCCAGCCAGGCCCAGGTCCCAGACCATTCATAGTTGATTGAGAGGTGGCAGCGGGCAAGTTGTGTCTTCAGCTAGTGTCATTACCCCTTGGGGACACAGAGGACAGCCCACGGCAGGGAGCCAGGAGGGCCGGGAGGTAAACAACCCCAGGAGGTTTCTGCCTAGGCCTCCAAAGGTCGTTGAACTGCAGGTGGGTGATCGCGCGTTGATAAGGCCCTGATAAGGTCGGCAGCCCAGGCCCGGGGATAAAACCACCAGACAGCGGGAGGGGTGGCTGCGAACTGACCGGCAAACAAGGGAAGGAAAACGAAATGGTGGACTACTTTCCCGGGCTGGCTATTTGGGAGAAATTAGCATCTCATGCTCTTTTCCATATGGACATGAAACGATTCCAAGTTTCTAGGAGAATGGGGAATTTTTTTTCTCTTTTTAATCCTCGATTTTTGCTAATCCACGCCCGCGGGACCAAGAGCTAGAGCTGGACTTGGGGCGGGCATCCCCCCGCCGATTCGGTGTAGGAGAGCGGCGCGCCGGACTCCTCCCGCCCTGCAGACCCCCTCGCCATTCCTGCCCGCCCCGCCCCGCCTCCCATAAGGGCAAAATAACTAAAATTGCAACTAAGGCTCTGGGTGTCAGCTTTCAGCAAGCACAGCACCTCCTTTCTTGTCCTTTCACGCGGGACCCCGCCAGAAAGCCTGAAACAGAGACTCGGATCAACAGCCATCCGAGCTACAGCCCCACTTTTAAGAAACTTTTAAGGTTAGAGCTGTGGGGGAGGCCGGGTATTTGCATCTTTTCCGGGGAGTGGGGGCAGCGCCCCCGGCGCAGGCTCTGCCCCCGCCCCTCCCGCGAGCCCCCCACCCCGCCCCGCGCGGCTGCGGCGAGGCCCTGCCCCCTCCCTGCCCCGCCCCCCCCCCGCCCGCTCGCGACCTCGCAGTCTCCTCAGTGTGGGGGCTCCCTTTGAACTCTTAGTCTTTGTTCTTGGCCACCCGAGACCCAGCATCCCAGTGTCCTGCCCCGAGACTCCGACGGTACCTGGGCCGTCCCAGCCCCCTAGCCCTGCGCCCCCCACGGTATTTGCAGTACAGGTGAGCCGCCCACGAGGGCGAGAACGCATCGAAATAGTATTCTAATGTGTCGCAGAAGTTTTTCTAGTAAATAAAATACAAAAAAAAAAGTCTCCAATCCTCAATGTCACTTTTTTTCTTGACTTGTTTGAAGGTTTACCTTTTGAAAAAGATCCGAGTTGTGGATACACCCTTTTTTTTAAAAAAAAATACGGCAGGGAGGGGAATGGAGGCGGGGACCACCCACAAGCAGGCCCAGGCTGAGGAGGCCTGAGGTGGGTTTTCCTGTTTGATATCAAAGGGAGCCAGTAACGGGCTTCCCTCCTTCCGACTGGGCCAGCCTTTGGCTCCGTTGAAAATGCAAAGGCGGCTTCGGCCCATTTTTGGGCCCCGGACCCTAAACTTCCGTAGGAAAGATCGGACATTAACTTAATCCGGCCCTGGCAGCCTTCCCCTCGGAACTCCAGCCGACCCAGCGGGAGGAAGCCAGGAAACTCTGGATTTGGTCTCGAGCGCGGCCCCCCCCCCCCCCCCCCACGCAGGCCCCCGGCCCAGCGGCGACACCTACCAGCCCTAGCATCCTGCCGTCGCCTCCCATGCAGAGGTACCGGAGGCTGTGCACGCCCTTGATGGCCACGTTCCGCAGGGCCACTGCCCTGATTTCCACCAAACCTGGCGTGAGAGAAGCAAACACTGCAGCCCGGCCCCGCAGGCCCCACGATACGTGGATGCGGTCGGTTGGTGGACCGGCCCGCGCCCCCACGCACCATTTCCCCAGCTCCTCAGGCGGCCTGGGGGCTCGGAGAGAGGGTGGAACACCGAGGTGCCAAGACCGGGGGCTCCCACGAGCGAGGGGCCCCCGAGAGGAAAAGGGGGGTCAGGGTAACACATAGGTGTGGTGGGTGCACGCACCCGTGCTCCCTCCCCCAGGTTCTCGCGCCGTCGGGGAATCTAGGGAGGGAACAGAACGCCGATGTGCCAAAACCTGGCGTTCTCGGGAGTGGGGTGCCCGCGGGAGGCCAGGGAGGTGAAGGAAAGAAGGGCCGCCGGGCAGAAGAGGGGCCCGGCAGGCACTCACTGTGCGCGCTCTGGCCCCGCGCGCAGTCCACCTCGCCGTCGGCACGGATGCGCAGGAAGCAGCTGGAGGGGCCGTGGGGGCCGGAGGTATACAGGTGCCGCAGGCGGATGGACTCCCCCCAGCCGTAGTGCACGTGTGGCCCAGCGTCCGAGAGAGCCAGGGGGCCCCCGGCTGAGGCCAGCCAGAGGCCGGCCAGGACCAAGGCGCGGGCCATAATGCTTCCACTCCGCGCGCTCCGCATGGCACCTCCCTCGGGCTCTGGACGCAGTTCGGGCGGCAGGGGGATGCGGGAAGCAGGGCGGCAGCTGGGACGTCCTGCGGGGCTGTGCGTGACGAGGTGGGGGAGGCCGCAGCGTTCTCTAGCCAGCCGTGCGCTCTGGGTGCGCTGAGCAGCTGCTCCGACGGCGGCTACAGGCTGGCCGCTTTATATAGCGCGTCTTACCCTCCCAGTCGGTGGGTGCCCACGACACCCGAGCATTTCTTATCAGGATTGCATCAGGCCCCCGCCCCCCGCACACACCCACTCACACCCCGCCTCCGGCTCCAGCCCCCTCCCCGAACCCCGGGTGACCCCGCCCAGGTCGCCTGGATCTGGAGGAGGAGGCCCCGCTTCGGCGGGAGGGTTCCGAGGAGCTCCTCCCCGCGCCTCGGTGGCGGGGCTGGCGGCCAGGTCGCTCTCGACTGGGTGAATTCGATTTTATAAAGCTATAAAGGAGACGACGGAGCCCCGCCTCCAGGCCGCGACGAGGGAAAGCGCTCGTCGCAGGGGCACTAGCAGGGGCGGGGGCAGGAACTCCGGGACCAGAGATTGGGGGGCACTGAACTCTGCATCCCTCTTCCCCTGTTTGGAAAAGCCTTGCCTCGGCTTTGGGGCCCTCCCCCCTTAAAAGTCCCATTCGCTCCCTCCTGCGACGGTGCCAACCCTCCCATCCCCGGACGTAAAGGCTTGCGTTAGAATTTCCCCTGCAGCTCAGACCCTCTCTCGTCCGCCCAGCTCATGTTCTCGCGATCCTTGCCCCTCCTCCACGCCCGGCCCCTTTTATCCCGGAAAAAAAAAAAAAAAAAATTGTACCCCGACGGGGGGCCAGGCGCGATCTCCGCCCTCGGAGAAACAATGGGGGCGCCGCGCGGGCGCCGCTAGATGGCGCTTCAGCCCGGGATTCGGCTTCTGCAGGGCCCCGCCCGCAGTCGCCCAGAAGGGGCCCTTGGGGCAGGGCGGGGGGCCCGCCTGCGCGTACGAAGGAGCTGACTTACTGCCAGCTCGCCCCCCGCCCCCGGCGCTTCGAGCAAGGGGGCCCCTCTGTTTTTGTCGCTGATCCAGTCCTTGGGTCCCTGCGCGCAGCGCGAATGCAGAGGTTGGGGAGCTCCTTACGTGGTGGGGAGGGGCAGAGGAGCCGCCATGCACGCGGCTAGGGTGGCATCTGGCCCCTGGTGGGGAAACTGAGGGCGCGCGGTGAAGTGGCTCCTGCAAACCAGAGACCTTCTCTAATGACGCTCTGAAAATGGAAACCGCCTCCAGAGAATGCCCCGGCGGGAAAGAGAGGGGTTCTCCCAGGGGGCTTTGGCTCAACGTGGATTCTTTCTCATTATTCTTCCAGCCCTCCCCCAACCCCAACTCCTGGGTGTGGGGCCCCACGAGGCTGGTTTTTGGGGGAAAGCACGCTGTTTCAGCGCAAAGGCGTTGGGAAGGCAAACGGTGGAGACGCAGGGAAGGAGAGCAGGGCCAGGCCTAATGAATTTAAATGAGCGAAGGCCATGTTCATACTGCAGTCAGTGCCTGGCGTTAATGACGGAGCGCGCCGAAAATGTCACTGGGGATGTCTTTACAAAAAGACATCCTTTCAAAGGCTTTATAGGCCAGGGACCCCCACGCTGTGTGTCTTGGTTCAGAAAGCCGTGGCTTCTGTTAAATCTAATTACTTCCCCCCTGTGGCTTTAAATCGACGGCGGTTCCTATTAAAGTTAATTACCCTCCCCTGCAGCTTTCGTTTTTTAAGATCTTGGATAGATGCGGTGCCTGAGGAGGATGTCTGGGGGATGCGCCCCAAATCAGGCGGGGCGGGGGGGAGGCGGGAGGATGTCATCCTCCGGCAGCCCCCCCACCCCCTCACTCAGCTGCCCTCCTAGGACCGAGGGGGGGGACAGTGGCCTGTGACCTGGGAGTGGAGGAGGGTGGCAGAGGAGGCAACGTCCTATTCTGCTACAAGTGCTTCGTGGGCGCTTTCGGCTTCCCACAAGTCCCCTAACACCGTGCCCCCTCCGTTGAGCCGACAAGGGGTCCTAGAAAAGTGGCAGAATGACCCAAGGCTGCACCACCAGCATGTGGTGGGCCTGGTATGCTGCGTCTGGGGAGGTGGTGTGGCCCCTAGCAGGGGCTCAGCTCTGGGGTCAGACCCTGTGCGGCACCGATCCATGCCCGGCCACTCCCGGGCAGGTCATGAACCTTCCATGCCACTGCCTCCTCGTGCCTTGGGCTGGGGTCAAATGGGAGAGTGGACATAAAGCGCCCGGGGCGTAGTTCGCCCAGAGGAGGCCTGTCCACGGAGAGTGAGTCTGCGGTGTACCGGCGTTCTGTAGTCACAGCAGTGCGCTGAGAGTTTAGGGGGTCAGTCCGTGCTGTGGTGAGGAAACAGAGGCTTACGGACTTAGCCAGGCGCCAGCGAGGGTCTGCACCCAGGTGAGGGGATGGAGGAGCCTGGTCTGTGTGGTTGGAGGAAGCGAAGAAAGGGAGAGCGAAGGCGGCGCTGGCCAGCAGGGGGCACTGTGGCTAAGGCTGTCCAGGTGAGAGCTGCCAAGTTGAAGGTGAGGTCCCCTTCCCAAGCCTCTCAAAGCGCGGTGAGCCCTGCAGCCCACAGGGTGACTCGTCCTGGTGGAATTGCATTCACCCCGTTATCTGAGCAGCCCGGCTCAGCCTGACACCACCCCAGGGGTCTCAGCCCACAGGGCAGGAAGGACCGGGTGGCTTGGAGGCTTTGTTCTGGGTTTGATGCTAACTGGGATCTTTTTAACTCTGCCCTAAGCCCTCGGGGGCGGCGTTGGGGGGGGGGGGTTGCCCTCCTTCAACCCGAGGTCGTCCGGCCTGCTCCTGATGGTGGCAAATGAGAGATTGTCATTGTTCCCAACCCACGTCCCAGAAGTGCAGAAAATCTTGTTCCGCTTCACTTCCAGTCTTTGCATTATGAAAATAATCGTTTTTCTTTTCACTTTATGGTTAGAAATTTACATGACAGTGTCAAATGAGCCTTCTTAAGCACTTCCCTGCGCCCCTCCCAAGTCGCCCGCCCCGCCCCGTGGTTGAGGGAACGTACCTTGTAATTGCAGAGGCTTCTGGGTGTTGGTAAAGATCATTGTCCAAAAAACAAGAGCTGCAGTTTTGAGCTTCGGACAGAAAGGACTTGAAGTCTTGGTTGTTGGGACAAGCCACACAGCTGGCGCGTGGCTGAGCCGAGACTGGAACTCGGGCCTCCTGAGTCTTCGCCCTACATTTTTGCTAGAATCTACTAGAACCTATATTATTCCCCCCAGAGCCTTCTATTTCACCAAAAACCCAGGTTTCCCCCATTAGGGTCACTATTCCAAAAAGAGGCCGCCCCGCTGGCCCAGAAACTGACAGAGTGGAAAAGGGACGGTTTCTCTGAGCCCCCATTTCCTTATTAGTAAAAGAACAAAAGGATACCTCATTTTCGGGGTCAATGTGGAAATTAGAAAAGGAAACACATTCATAGAGAGCGCCTGGCCTGCGGAGGCGTCCAACAGGAAGGCTCGCTGTCGCTGTTTGTTTAAAGGGAACTGCCTGGCCATCTCTGCCATGTTTATTATTTATGCTTAAGACGCAGCGGTAACTCTAGAGGAAGACAAGTGTAATGTATGGTGACGGGAAGCTGGTGGGTGGCTGCCTGAGGCTGGAGGTGGGGAGGGGGTCGTCCAAAGGCTGAGAGGTGGCCCTCCGGGGACAGGGGAAGGCCTGGCATAGTGACTGGGGTGGTGAGTGAACAGGCCCTGACGTCTGCCCCAGCTCACTGAGGGGTGGCCTTAAAGTCAGGATGCATTGCATTCTCCATTCTACCTCAATAAAGTTGATTTTGAACATTGTCGTGGCAGAGTGGCACTTGGACGGGATTAAAACTTCGGAAAAGCCAGGAAAGCAGAACAAAAACAACGTTACAGACCTGGACTCTCATGGCTGCGATATGAGCCCGTTGCTATTTGTGCGGATTCCTTTCCCAGACGTTTACCAAGTATTTATATATCTTTTTTGTAATCATTTAAATTTTACTCCCCCCCCACCCCAGCTGTGAAGGTTTCCCCTGGCACTAAATGTCCTTGTCAGGCACCGCCCACACTGCAGATCTGGCTGGGGCTCCTTGGGTGGCGGTCTGCCCCCTAGTGCTGGACGCTTACACTGCCGCCATGTTCCCTCCCACGTCACACGGGGAGGACACCCTTGGGGAGACCCCTCACAGCTGTCTGCCCTCGGAAGCGGAGTCCCTGGCCCCATGGTCTCTTCCCCAGGTTGCCCAGCCCACACGCTGGATCGGGGCGGGGAGTGGCAGCTTCCTCCTGAGTGTGGGCCCTGCTTCCGCCCACACTAAGGGCCGCACGGCTGCCCCCAGGCCGGGTCCAGTGGCCAGCAGGGGTCCATGTGGCCCAGGAGCTGGGGCTGGAGGCCTTTAGCTACCAGTCTGCCCTCAGCCCCCAGGGCGTGAGACCTGTGGTTGCCTCTTGCGTGCCCCCGACTGGATACCTGGCCCGCAGTGTGCCCTGACCAGGACTCGAACCAGCGACATTTTGGTTCTTAGGCCGGCGCTCAGTCCACTGAGCCCGACCAGCCAGGGCTCATTACACTATATTTTAAAAAAATAAAAACCAAAGCAGCCTCCCTTTCAGAAAATTAAGAGGCCCCGCCCACATTCAAGGCCTCGGTGGGGCCAGGACGCTGACCTCTGATTTCTCCGCCCCACCCCCATCTGCTGCCCCAGTTTTCTGGAGGGGTCATCGAAGTCCCCTTGGTGACTCCAACAAGACAGCAAGCGAGGCCCCTGCTCTGACCAGGGCTGGTTCCATCGATTTCACTGCCTCCAGCCCTGCTCTCTGTCTCCTCCCCCAACGCAGCTCTGCGGAGGTGGCCACCGCGCCCGCACCACCTGCGGCCGCGGACTCGGTGCCCAGGGCAGAGTCTGGCATGTGGTCGATGGTCCCGAGAGAGTGCACGGGCCATTGAGAGGAACCAGGAGGTGGTTG